GTGCAGAGTTGGAGTCATCTGAATTGGGTCAGTAGTGGAAATTATCTTGGATTTAGCCTTGTAAATGTGGATCTGCATCTCAGAAAAGCCGCATCCACTTCCAGTGTAGTTTTTGGAAGGTTCTGAACAACAGAACCAAGGTCAATTATTTGAACAGCCCAAACGGCAGGAACAGTCTCCTGAAGGCAGATCATTGGTTTTAGACTTTATTAGGCCCTCACTTTAATTACCACCTCATTACTTGCTCTGCTTCCACAAAAAGTATTCCATACTGTCATTTTCCCTAAGTAACTGGGAATGTGATTGAAAGGGATGTTTAAAGTGAGACTAATTCAAGATTAAATAGTCACAAATTATATTATTGCTACATGTAAACAAATTACTTGCATATCTGATTTTATTCAGATTACTTTTCAAGTGGTAAATAATGCTTTATCACTTATATAGTGCTCTTACATCTTTAGAGTGCTTTTCTCACATTAATTAATCATCATTAAACACTCTGAGGTGGGTAGGTTAATACTATTATCCCCATTTTGCAGATGAAGAAATGTAGACTGAGAGGTTGTGATTTGCTCAAGGCCATCTAGAAGAAATAGAATCAGAGCTGGGGTTAGATCAGTGTCCCTGGCTTCTAATTTCAGAAGACCAGACAGATTGTAAACCACAGTTTTGAAGCAAAATACTCAACTATGCATGTAGAAACAGAGCACACCTATCTACTTGGTCTCTCAGATACCTGAGTTGCAGTTTAAACAGGAACTTTGCTTATGTGCCATAGTGCATATTTCCACATTAATAGCCACAAGTGTAGAAAAAACCTCTCATTCATTCAGGAACTCTTCCTAATCTGATGGGGTGTTTTTATTTCCATCATTTTTGTTAAAATTAATTTTCATATAAAGTATCAGTGTCTAGTTCTTTAGGCTTGAACATAATGGGTTGGCTCAAATGCAGCAGATTTAGTGTTGGAACCCGAAAGTGTCTGCAGATGATACCAGTACCAGCTCTGTTGCTTACAGTGTTTCACAAACTGAAACGTAAGTAAAATATGCTTACCTTATTGCTATTCAAAGCAGGTGAGAGAGAAGAATTAGCCTCCATGTGTTAAACCAGTCCATTCTGTAGGCAGTGCCTGGCTGACAAGTAGAGACATTCAGATTCATGCATTCCATCTTGGAGAGCTACCTAAATTAAACCAGATAGTCTTGGGTTAGAAAGGAAAGCAGAACTATTTCTGTGCCACCTTGGTACTCAGAAGCATCACAGACAATTCTGTTCACCTGTTAATAATAGAAACGTGCAGAAGCAGCAGGTTATAAAAACGAAGGGGAAGAAAGACATGTTTTTGTGTGTGAGAGTGTGGACCTTCTGGGAAGAGGAGGGAATAACGTGGAATAGATTAGAGGCCGGTAGGCGTGTACAGGTAAGAATAAGGTTTGTGCTACAGCATCCTTCTTGCCTGTCATAATTTCCAAGGAAATACTGCAAGTGATGGTAATGCCTGGCTGCTGAGTTAGGCGGTGTGGCTTCTGATCCTAGCTCAGTTCCAATGCCAGTGGCTAAGTTACTCATCCTGCAAAATCAGTGCAGCACTTTTCCAAAGTGCACTATGCTTTAATTCATGGAAGAGTTTTTGAACTCTTCAGATGGAAGATCTTGGAGAAGATGGGCTTTAAATAGGTAGATTGGAAAAAGACAAAGTATTGCACACAAAAAGAATTTCCTGCCTTCAGACGGCTAGTGAACTCTTTGGCTTAATGGTATGAGTTGAGTGTGCTTTGTAAGTCACTAGCCTGCAAACTGCACTGGGTTCAGACTGACATAGTGGAACTGGGAAACACCTGTGAGGTGATTGTAGGATTAATCCTTCTGGTCTGCTGCGACTCTGATTGTGCAACCTGGAAACAAGGGATTCCCTGAAAGCAGGAATGGATGCTTCCTTCAAATAGCTCAGCCTAGTAGTAACAAAAGCAGAACCAATGCGTATTCTCCTGCTTTGCCAGTTTCTTTTTTAATCCAGAAAGAATTATGCTTTGGGTTATTATATATAGGTGCACAGAGGTGTGCTCTGCCAGGGTTATCCCACGGTATGCCTCTGTCCAGGCTCTCAAGAAGCACTAAATTTTAAGAAGTTACTGTTGGAAGAAAAGGAGGAAACAAGGTATTTGCCCACTGGCTTTAAGAGTATGGAATATGTTTTCCAACAGTGGATTCTGTTTTAATAACCAGACCCATGATTAGGTAATGCTAAGTTTGGTGCAAGAGTAGTTCTTATTTTCGTATGCAGATAAGCCATTGATAGGCACATGCATTCATAAACTTCTACATTTTTATGCCTAAAAGGGGAGAATTCAGTGTTTATTGGTACTGCTTCACTGTTACGTCTTGGAAATAATGCGTAGTGGGTGGCTCTAGGTGTCCAGACAAACAAAACTCATATATACAAGCAAATAGGTCCTTTATTTTATTTACCCTGAAAGGAATTTTCATTCTTTAATTGTAGCTCTAGATATAAATCATATGTGGAAGATAGACTAATGATTTTCCTGTGTTTGATTAAAGGCAAAGGATCAAAGATTTGTTTGTATATTTATCTATTTGTTTCTTTGCTGTGATAAGACCAGTTGTTATCCAAACAGTGGGACTGACCTAATAAGGGGCATATGCATAATTGATTTCCATCTGTTCTTCAGTATTTATTTTTTCAATAGAGCTCAGTTCTAGAAGTGCAGCCTGAAACATTTTTAAGGTGATACATTTTAGCACTTCTGTAAAAGGTCTCTTTTATGCTGGCCACTGAGAGGAAGAGGTTTGTTGTTGGTTCCACCCTTTAGTATCCCTTCAAGAGAGATTGTATCAAAGAAGAAGAATTAAATTAAAATTGATTTGTCTTATTGATTTCTTTTTTTTTTTTTTTTTTTTTTTTAGGAGGATAAAGGGCAGTGGAAACAGCGTATGCCCCTGTGCTGTTTTACTGATGGGCTATTTTTTAAAAACATAAAAAGCATATATGCTCAATTTACATATTTACTAATTAAAAAAGCTTCTTGGAAACATTACGTAGACTATCTTCTCTAACCTTTAACATTGTAGCTAATGGATATAGCCTGGAAATTTTCATACAAGGTCCTCTAAATAATGTAAATGATTATGAATATGTAACTAGTTAATATGCAGCAATAAAAGGATTATCATGTAGAGGTTAATGAACATGCTGCTCTTCTGGTTTGCAGGGTTTTACTTTCTGTGCTTTTAGCTCACTTTGTGCATGGGAAGTCATGTATTGGGAATGGGAAGCTTCCTGTCTTTTCCATCTTCATCTGTAGTGGGCATTTAAACCTTTCTTAATTTAAACCATTTAAAACTTTCTTAAAGGATTTCATAAACATTTTTGTGTGCTAAATTATGTTGCGTGCTTCACAATCCCTACCAAATCTGAAAGGGTGAGGGATGTTGGTAGAATAGGCTCTGACTCTCCTACTTGTCTTTGGTGGGCTCCATTGTGGGCTAGCATTGTACTCAGCACTGTGTGATTTATACCTTTAATGGGAACTTTACTCTTAAAATGAGCTCAATATTAATAGTATGAATCAGGTTTCTGAGTTGATATCATGTAGAAGTCTGCATATTTACTCTTAACCTTAGCTTGCATGTTAAAGAAAATATTTGCTGGGCATTTGATTTATAGGCATTTAAAGCAAATGATAAATTTAAACTTGGCTTACGCGGGGCAAGCTACCTGGCTGAATTTCCTGATGGATTATGAAATAGCATAAACGCAAATGTAGAGCTGATCCTTTTCATGTAAGTACTTTACTCTGTTTAAAGAATTATTAGCTCACAAAGTAGTCCTTGAGTAGGAAGTGAAGGGTCTGAGCTCTGTTCTACAATAGATGCACATATGCTAAATGGAAAAAAAAAAAATTAAAATTGTTGGCGGTGGGGGGGGGGGGAAGAATTATCTGCTCCAGTGATTTCAGTGGTACTTGAATGTATGTTACTGTTTTCATTAATTGCTTTCAAATATTAGCATTATTTTGGCTCTAGGAAAAGCAAAATTTGTAAAGAAAAAATAATCTAGAAAATGCTTATAGTGAGAAGATGTCTAGACATATTTAATTGCCCCATGGCTTCATTGCATTTCATATAATTGAATGAAATTGTGTTATATTTTTAGTAACCATTATTCAGAGGTCAGAATAGGTTTTGAAAGACAAAATCTTCAGGTAATTATGGCAGGCAAGGTCACAGGTTTCAGCATCTTGTCTGTTTGCTATACCTACATAGTCTAAAAAATACAGTTAAAAAAGAAGAAAACAATTTCATTTTAGCAATGCTCTTTCTTTTGTAAATTATTTTGGATCTCTAGGGAAAGCCTGTGATATAAGGTGAGATACTCAGATTAAAATTTCCTCTTTTTGTGACACCTGAAAATAACAGGAGGGAAGTTGGCAGCCCGTATAATGGTGTCAGATGCCTTTGTGTTTAAGGACCACAAAATTAATTTGTGCTTTTTCAAATCCAAATGGCCAGTGGAGACATTTGTTGATGAAGGAAAAAATGTTTTGGTGCTGTGGGGTTCATTTGTTTTTGGTTTTTAATGACTCAGTAGGGAGGTTACATTGATGTCTTGTTATAATGTATGTTATTTTTTAATTCTGCGAACATGTAACACTGAAAATAGATCTGCAAATCGCACAGCCTACTACTCTTGTAGTATACTATTGTGTGTCATGTAATAGTTATGGAGCAGGTATTGTACCAAAAAATGAATTGAAAAGCTGTAATTTTTTTCTGTGGTTATGGGTCTGCATTAGTGTGTGATAGAGTGTGCTGCTTAAGAACTGCCATTCCCTTGCCTTTGCACTGACAAATAGAAATGTACATAGAGACACCACCAAATCTGTAATGCTGCTGTTCTAGTTTGTGATGCATTGACATTGCAGCTGTGTGCTTAGCCTTGTTTTTTCATGAGTAGTTATCTGTTTTGATGACAGGTGGTCACTAGCTGCCAAGAAAAAATCCAGCACTGGTAAGTGAAAAATGTTTGATTACATGCCTAAAATACTGATGAGTAACCTAGTTATATTTTAATAAAGTATTGCTATTGATTCTGATGATAGCCAAATCCTACTAGCATGTTTTGGGGATTAGTGATAGCTCAGCATTGTTACAGTGAAAATGTTCTTGAAAATGTATATATTTTCCACTGATATCATGACTTTAAATCACAAATACACTGAGCCTTAGTATTTATACTTCTGTTTTAAATGCTGAGCTCATTCGTCTTTTTCCCCCAAGTAACCTTGTGGGTAAATGCTAAAGTTGCCTGATTGGTGCAAAGGTACTCCCAGGGTAGAATTAATGATTCTTGGTTTCTTTCTAACTATGGAGCAAGTAGGTAAATTCTCCTTCCCCCTCCTCCATGTGCTAAATCAGTGTGAAAGTCATGTTTCCCTGTTGTTTCCCCAGGTAAAGTATGTGGTAAAGCTTAGTTTGTAATGCTAGAAAGAAATGGTTTGTTACATAAAAAAATTATCTCTGGGCACTTTTTTCTCTGTTGGCAATCTATGGTTAATAGAAAACATGCTTAGTAAGTAACAGTTTTCTATGGCTTGTGAGGAAAATGTACATTTAATGGTGAATGAAACCTTGTATTATGAGTTACTGGGAGATATAACAGTTGATCTTACAGATATCAAATTACAATATATCCATGCTGTGTTTACCATGATTTTACTGAGAGAACAACAGGAGCTGTCTTGATTATTGTCTGCAGGGTTATTGCAGAGTCACAGCAACTGCCCCTTTAGTGGTGAGATTAAACCTTTGGTTATACACCATCAAGCATATAATATTTAAATTTATTTTAAGAGGCTTTTTCTTCATGCCTGAAAGATCTCTAAGCAAATAATTTATATTTAGTGTGTATCAAATGTTTTTACTTTAAATGCACATAGGCTGCAAGCACTGGATAAAAGGGAAAAAATCAAGGCAATCTATACACATCATATTAAATTCTGACTATTGGCTCCCAAAAATAATCTAAAACTAATATGTTCCATTTATGTTTAAAATTCAGAGACCACGTTAATTTTCAATAAGAGAAACATTATTGAAGTGCCTCCTGGTACTGCCATGGTGAAGGCAGGTAGAATATCCCCAGCACACAGACTTTTCCAGGAGCTTTGCAGTGTCCCTACCAGATTGGTCTCATACAAAATTCTGCATGTGCATTCTTTCACTAAGAGACATTATTTTTCAGTAAAAAACTGACAAAAAGCCTTAAAATTTGAACAGACTTTTAAAAGTTTGTGAAGTTGTGACAATTATTTACTCTTACAAAAGTGGCTGAGGCTTGTGAAGTCAGAAGGGAGGCCTCTGGAAGGAGGAGTTACTAATGTGTTTGCTTTTATGCAAACTCTGGCCATGGCCTGATGACCTTGGGGAATTTGGGCATAGCATGTGGAAAGGAAATCCTAACTTGTTTGTTACCTTTATGTAGAAAAGCAGTTTTATACAGCATCTGATTTCATAAAAAATTATTTAAAATTTAGTACCCTTATTTAGATCTTGATTGTGTACTAGCTGAGTGCTCTTGTTTCAACTAAGTTGCTCATATAAGACCTTCTAAGTAGTCAGTGACAGAAGAATGTTAAATAGAACTGAGTTAATAACAACAGGGTTTAAAAATGCTCAGCTTTAATCTATTTCCATTCAGTTGCTTTATTTTTAATTTTTTTAGTTCACTTTCTGAAGTATCTTTGTGAAGCCATGAATCCAGTTATGGGCCTGGTACAGGATTAAGCATCTAGACATGCGTTTCCCCTTCTGGGACATGTTCACAGCTGGAGTCCCAATATTCATCCCCCCTCTTCATGTTCTTCATTGTGTATGGGAATTGAGCTTGTGTGGCCATCAGCTATAGGTAAAGAGGGATGTTGGCCTCCTTCCTTAAGTAATACTGTCTCAGGCCAATTAATTAAAAGGATTGATTTTAATTTTCTTTATCTTGCTGGCCCAGTTCAGGATGTGGCCGTGCTTTTAGAGATTCCCATGGTGGAGGCTTGATCACCAAAGGGTAGTAAAAAAAAAGAAATATACTGAAAAAAGAAGTCTGCTTTGCTCTGTAAAGCAAAATAGCTTTTGTAGCAAGTGATTTGTCCTGTATCCTGATCACATTATTCAGCAGCAGGCAACAGCCAGACCTTAAAGGCAGCACCTTCTTGTCAGACTGATGAAGAAATGTTGAGTGACTTTCATCCGTGAAGCAATGGGAATATTTAATCCTGTCACGAGTGGGGAGGGATTTTCACACCATTCTCTGCTCATGAAGGCCTCTCTTCACATTTGAGGCCAAGGCTAGGCTGTTGGCTAGCAGGCAACAGCCAGAACTTAAAGGCAGCACCTTCTTTTCAGACTGATGAAGAAATGTTGAGTGACTTTCATCCGTGAAGCAATGGGAATATTTAATCCTGTCGCAAGTGGGGAGGGATTTTCACACCATTCTCTGCTCATGGAGGCCTCTCTTCACATTTGAGACCAAGGCTAGGCTGTTGTCTTGGGGGTCATGTTTGTTTTTTAGTGGATGGTTGAAGTGCATCAGTGTCCATTTCTCAAACACAGATTTATGCAAGGCAAAGGCTGGATTCTGTAAATATCATTAAGTAATTTATTGTTATCGTTGACACCAAATTGTCATTATATTGCCCCCCCCCCCAACATCTCAATGAATTTTTTTAAGATTCATGAGTTTGTTCTTCCTCTTTGAAGGAAGTGAATTATATTTTCGTGTTGATGTAGATAGATAAACATGCCTAAAATGTCGGGGAGAAATCTTCTGTCAAACCAAAGCAGCCATATGGAATAGGCTGGAATAGGCTTTTAATGTCCAAGTGGCATAAAAACCTAAATTCTTTTTTCCAAGACTGTTCAGCAGCTTAAAGTTTGAAGCACTCCAGGTATAAAGCAGGGTGATTACCGCAAAGTTCAACTATGGAAGCAAATGAGTCAAAACACAGGAGTATCAGATAATTTTTCATAATGAATGCTGAAGAAGATTTCATTCTGCTTATGAATCTAGGAAAATCAATGATAATATTTTGAGAGTTGTGTTATCAACTCTGACTTTCATTTTTTAGCACATTTACAGATTGCTTTTCTGAATCCTCAGAAAACCTGTAATTTGCATCTCAGGTCAGTGTTGTTAAATGTGCTGCTCCATGCTTTTACTGCAGAATTTACTACCATATACACATTTACTATTTTGAAGTACAAGTAAACAATATCATCAAACCTGACATTTATATGCGAGTTACTTCATGCAGGAGCTGATTTCTGACCACCTTCAGAGTTGCAGTAGTCCGTTAAAAGACTTTTTCAGCTGAGTTTAAGTATTTAAGGATGTCTTTCCAAAAGAAGGCTTTTTTAGAGGGGGTCCAGTTGCTTTTGCACACAAAGGAAAATCCCTGCAGCAAATGAAATCCTGCATTTTGCAAAATCCTCTCTGAAAAGCCAGGTATCTGCTGGGGGAATAATTTGTCTTAAGTTTTCCAAGCCGTTTCTCTCTTTGGTGGCAACATATAGCATGAGCCTTATTTACATTTTGGATGGAGAGGCAGTAGAAGGGATGTTCCTCACCTGGAAAGTCCCTTGTCAGGGACTGAAGATATGACAGAATCCTGGTGGTCAAGCCGTCTTTCACGTGTCGACTCTTGGTAGGAACACAAAGTTCATGTGAAAATAAGAATGAATTAAAATTTTGCCCGTTCATGTCAGCTCAAATCAAGGCCATGAATCTTTATTCCAAGTGCTGCTTGGAAGAATTTGCCTCTTATAAAGTATAAACTGGATTTTTAAACAGTTATTTTTCTAAATATTGATGGTGGTATAACTGATGAACATGGAGTGAGATAAGCCAAATTCTAGTGGAAGAACTGATTCTTTGCACCAGTCAAATTCAGAAAGAGACATGCACGATCTAAAATAATCATGATGCTATTTTAGTACACATTGTTCTAAAATAATATATCATGTTTGTCATCCCAAGTCTTTTATAAATAAGTTATTAATATATCAACTGTATGTGTTTAAGAGTAAAATAGTTTATGTTCCTGTATTTTTTGTTTGTTGAATTACTAGCAGAAAAATGTTAACTCTTTACTTTAGACATGAAATAGAATCAATTTGAATTTGTCAACAGGAAGAAGGTAGAGAGTGATTATGAGGCTCTTCAGGAACGACTCCGTACGCTGCCTGATAAACTATCATATGATGTCATGGTATGTACGCTGTAGAGTTCACATAAGGAAACACTGAAATGTTTAGTAACTTGGGTATCTGTAGAGGTAGCGAGGTGCTACTCAGGTGGCCACATAGTACTTGTTATGGGTCTCCTGGTAATAGTTACACTTTTGCTTTTCTTTCTCTTTTATTTGAAATCCATTGTAAATTACAGTGCTGCTGACAACTGAGAACTGAGGACATAAATGCTAACACAAAACCTGACATATTTAATATGTAAATCTGTTGTATAGAAAACTGTAATTATGACTGAATTATGGTACTTAGTCATTTCCTGAGAAGAAAGTGGCCGTAGTGTTTCTTGATTCATGGAAGTAAACCCTTGAACATTGATTTTTACATAAAAAGGTGCTGCTAATTTTTGTTTCACTGATCTTCACATTGACATAGCGATCTTTTCTGGTGCTTTGAATCTTCCCTAACAACTGCACAGCTCCCTGTGTAAACTTTACCCTGTTGGCTTGTGCTCACCAGAATTTTGACCAGATTGGCTTTTCTCTCTTCATTTCCCTCCTCCCTTCTCAAGTCCAATTCAAGATACATCTTTGGAGAGATGGAAGTTGTACTGTAAATAACTGGATGACTGATTTCAGCCCGTAGTGACTGTATGTTTTCTTCCTTGGCAGCTTGGCTTAGCATATAGCATTGAACTGTTAGCAAGACAGCCTTGGAGTACACTTACCATGTGGAAAAAGAGAGTGATTCCCTTTTTTATGCTAATGATTCAGTGCTGGATTTTATGCGTGTAGTTCATTTACTATGTGTATATGTATGGCCACATGTTGTAAAACAAAAGGTTCATGTTGTTTCGAAGCATACAAAGCTCCGTGTAGTTCATTTACTATGTGTATATGTATGGCCACATGTTGTAAAACAAAAGGATCATGTTGTTTCGAAGCATACAAAGCTCTCTGTTAAAAAATAAAAGCTAGCTAGGGCTTATTTTCAGTTAAAGCAGTAATGTCAACTTGCATCTGTTATTTTAAATGTATATAAATAGTTCCTATCCTGTTAGCTAAATATTTTCATATGTTTCCAATTATCCTTTCATCATTTTGGGGGAAGAGTGTACAGGCGAGTGGTGCAGTCTGCTGCTTGAAAACCAAGTTGGGATGGGTGCATGTGTGAAAAAGCACGTTCAGCATAGCCTTAATGTCAGGATCCTGCCTGCTGGAGAACTGTTTCAGACCTTGGTACCCTCCTGGATACTGGAGCTAGGGAAGATCATTTTCCAAGGAAATAGATCCACTAAGCCAAATGCTCTGCTTCAGCACAAGTGTGATGAGAAAGCAAGTGGCTATCCTGAGGAAATGAAGGAGGTGGGAGAGGAGTGAAGTAGAAGGAACTGATACAAACTGGCTGAGACAGATCTCTATTTACTCTAAGAAAGAGAAAACTTGAGGTGGATGTTTTGTCACCTCCATTTTAACTTCAGTTTGATTTTGGCCTCATTTCTTTGCAGTTGAAGCCCAAAGGCAGCCAGATGAGTAGGTTTGAGGGACTGGAGGAGAAAGCCAAGGCTCCTGCCCAGGGACTTGCCCAAGTCTCTGAAGTTTGGCCCATGGAAGGTGTCTTAATTCGTGAAAACAATGTCCCAGACATTGCAGTATATGTTAAAACAGGGCTTACACTTTTTAAGAAACACCTCTTAAAGTTATAAAATGTGTTTATTTCCAATGTACTCCTGTTTGAAGTATTCTGTGTATTTGAAGAGTTACTAGAGAATGGGTGTTCTGTGGTGGAGCATTGCTAGAAGGTTGAGGTCTGCGCATTGGTGAATGATAAAGCAAGTTTAAGCAGTCTGTGGTCCTGCTAGTAGTCCCACAAATTTACACTGAGCTTTCTAAGGTACTTACTATTAGCATGACAGATAGAAGCAACTCATCTTTGAGTTGACCATACCTATTTAAATATTTTAACATTTTAGCAGAGCTAAACTTGCTGTTTTTAGGAGATGAATGTAGTCTGTCTGTAACAAACATGTAGCTCACCCAAATTACAATAATTTTGTCATCAAGGCTTACATGTTAAGATTAAGTGAGCATTTGGCTATTCTGTAAGTTTATGTCACAAACCCACTTGTCTAGTTCAGTACCAGGTTTCAAATATTTTAAGTATGGTACTAAATTTAAATGGATCTGGTAATTTGAATATATATGAGGGATTAGTCATTAAATAACTGGTGTAGAATTTTAATTTCTTAACTCTGTATTTTAGTTTTTGTTAAAAACTAAGGCATGAATCACTGCCTGGGTTTTATTTTTATTTGTGATTTCTAGCAGTTTCTTCTCTGCCTTTTACAGGTACCTTTTGGACCTCTTGCCTTCATGCCAGGAAAACTTGTCCATACCAATGAGGTTACTGTTCTGCTTGGGGACAACTGGTTTTCCAAATGCTCAGCAAAGCAGGCTGTTGAGCTGGTTGAGCACAGAAAAAAACGTATGTATGCTTCTGAATATAATTTAATAGTCAAAATTATGTGTCTTTGTATTGCTAAATCAGTAGCATCTACACTGTGTTTTTGTGAGTTCACTGTCAGAATTCTCGTTCAGATGTAATATCAGTTTAGCACCTTATTTTCCACCTTTACATTATATTTTATTTCATATGTCTAATTTTTCTAAAGATCTAGACAGATCTTTTTTCTTTCCCAGTGATGCATCAGCTTAAGTTACCAAAATTCAGGTTTTGTTATTAGATGTTAGAATACAAGATCAGCCAAGATTTATTCCTTTGTGTATTATATGCAAAAGTAAAAAAAAAAAATCAAACTAAACTAAAACCCCCCTTTTGCTTTAACATGCGAAATGCTGTATTTTCTTCCAGAAAGTGAACATCACATTGTACTTTTGCTTCTTAGTTACCTTATGTTCTGTTTACATATTCTGTATAGATACTATAAACCTGTATTCTGTTCTCTTGTCTCGTCTTTGCTGCCTTCTCCTCTGTTTTAGTTATTTTTTTGATTTGTCCATGTAATTTTCCACCTTTCTTCTCTGCGCATGCTTAACTCCTGCTTGTTGGTTCATTTGTTTGTTTGTTTCTCACTTGCTGCTTAGATGCATTTCTGCCTCCTGTCCTTGGTGTTCCTGTCCACTGATATGGAGAGATCCACTGGATCGGCCCAGATGTGCTCTTGGTGACCAGCAAATTCATCTTCTATAGTAGCACATCACAGAGGCAGACAGGCAATTTTCGGTTGTGTTTCCAGCTCTTTTTAGTTGGTGAGATCTTGGCTTTGAAGAGCTGGGACCACCAGGAAGTAGTGTGCACCGTGCACTTTGGAACCTCCTTATGTGAGAAAGAATGAGTGCCTAAAATATTTGGTGTAAATGTCAAGGAAGGAAAAGCACAATGAAACGGAAAATAAATTGGTACCTAGTAGCCTTTGCTGCTTGCTTCAGATAAGCATTTGAGTAAATTTTTTTTGTATTGGTTTTACCTGTAATCTGTCTCATTCCTGAATGAGTGCTCACTGCAGCTTTACCCTGTGGCTGCTACAACTTCCACAACTGTTTACACTGGATTTTTGTTTGAGTTCTGCTATCCGTGTGCTGCCTGCCGCAGAATACCCCAGAGCTTCCCCATCTGCATAAGTTTGTTTTTCTAACTCAACCCTGTGCAAGTAATATTTGTGTAAGAAAAGTCATTTTTTTTATAAAAATTCATTTGCTGTATTACTTTAAAATACTCCTTTATGAAGAACGTTGCCAAAAGTACATAATTTGTATTTTACCTATTATCTTTCTTAATCTGGTTCTCCCGACACAACTTTGCAATTTTCTTTGTTACTGAACTGAATCTACGTTATTTATTGTGACTCTTGTGAGATCTCAGGTCCGTATCTTTTTCCTTGATCATCTGATACTTTTTTCAGTGCTGCAGGATATTTTTGTCACCATTACATTCATTGAAATCGTTTGACCTTTGCATAGTAGATGTTTGAGCATTAAGTAGTCTGCTGGGAGACACACAATAAATGCTGAATTCTTTCCTTTATGATCTTTTAAATTGCATTTAAAATACGAACTCAGAAATACTAATTTCTTTTAAAGCAAAATAGTCTTTGATGCTGGATATAAACCCTCTATGCAGCTGGTAGTTCACTTCAGCTGTGTGATGGCTGCCAGTGGGAGGCTCCAAAACACAGATATTAACTAAAAACTTTTTCTTTAAAGGACCATATTCAATTTTAGATCACAAAACCTGTATTAGTAGATATGATTCTGAAAAAAATTACATTCCTTCATAGATACACATTTCTGTTTTAAAAAATACAACTGACACGAATTATTTCAACTGTTTTCACACTAAATAAGGGCAACTTAGAGGAGAATATTTGGCACTTTACTAGCTTAGCTAGAAGAAAAGGTTGTGTATGTGAAAGACCTGTAGGCCATTGCAGGATAATGTGAATTTGTCACTTATGGCACAAATGTGAAAGACTGGTGTTTCACAAGCAGTAGTTTAAAGTCTCTTTTCATGTATCTATTTTCATAGGTATGACTTCTGATTTCACTGGCATTTTGTGGGCATAGTTTTCAGGGTGATGTATATTGGGTGTTATCATTACATTGACACAACATGATTTGATTTTTGGTGCATAATCTTTTTGTTTTGGACATAAATTCCATGTGTAGGTCAAACACACTGGAAAAGAGGTCATGCTTCCTGCAGAGGATTACACTGCAAGCAGTCCTGCATGTCTGGTGTGCCAGTTAGAAGGTCCTAACACAGCAAAGGTTTTTTAAGCATGTACTTATGGTTAGTGTGTGCTTAAAGGTCTTGATGTATAGGAATTGGGGTTTGAACAGGGCAAAGAGCATGCTGGAATTGCTTCCTGAACAGATATTTGGCAATGTTTGTTTCTTGATTTGTTTCTTCAGTGACCTACATTTTTTTTTAGCCAATACTGCTCTAATTTAGATGGGCATTTTTTTCATAACTAACTGGTCAAATCTGTTCAGATGACGAAAATGAACTTAATTACTGTAGCGCTAATAATTCAGTGCTATAACATAAATTAAGAGTTGTAAGGAAATAAATACAAGGCACACATTTTCATTGCTTATTGTGTCACGCTCTCCTGAATGGTGAGGAGTGGGAAAGCATCTGCTTGGTGCTTAAGTTCTGTAGTGGGACTGATGCTTAGATAGCAAAGGGTAAGAGACTCCCGAAACTCCCTTCTGAGTGTTGTTTTTTTGCTGGTTCTGGGGTGTTTTCTTTATTGGCTTTGGCTGGTTTTGTGGGGGTCTGCCCACTGAAGGCCTTTAGTCACTAGGGTGACCCTTTTTGCCTTTGAGGATGCTACTGCCCTAAGAGTTAATTTAATCAAGGTTCACAGAAAATTTTCTTTACAGTTTGATTCCTCCCGTGTGTGTTGAATTCATACACGAATGGACAATATGAATTTTCACGCTTAAGCAGTAATAATGCCAGATAAATCAAATCATGTCAGTAAGCATAAAGCCTTGGAACTTAGGGGTAGCAGTATGAGTGTACTATATATAAAAGCTTTAAATATTATTTTGTACTAACTAGGTCATCTTTTTTGTCTTAGTAGTTTTGTTAAATTTGCCTTTTAAAGGTGAATGAGTGAAAAAAATGTTTGTGTCCATGGAATAGAGAAATACCCAGACACAGCAGATGAATTTCTTTGTTAAAATTTATTTAACTGAAAGGAATAATTGAAGAGTGACTGTACTGCATTATAAATGCACTTTAACTGACATAGCTATAGAAAGCCCTATTTTGGGGCTACATTTTTGTTTGCTTAGCTTTTGATTTAGATGCAGACTGTTCAGCGCTGTGATTGGTTGAAATGTATTTGGTAAAATTTGGGACAGTCACTCATGTCAAATGTTACCTTTTCATAAAATATTGATCATGTCTTCTTGAATAATATCTGAGTTGCAGTGGGTCTTTATTTGCTGTGCATTTTTGTGACAGTCTAGATGTTGTTAGTTCCAAAACTGTTAAAAAAATAAATCCAGTGAAGTTTATGGCATTGTGAAATATATTTTTAATTGTTTTAAATTTGTTGCAGTTAAGCCAGGTAGTACAGATAATGGGAAACACATTACACATATGTTTGTGTGAAAAATGTGAAGAAATAGTGAAGGAGATTAAAGGATATACACACCAAATTCCATTATAATAAAAGAAATTAGCTTTTTAAGTATGTCACAGTTTAGCACAACAATAATGCAATTGTAGGTTTTTCTCTTACAATTATCTTGCTTAAGGTACTTCATAATATTTCCGTTCTCCTCAAGGCAAGACTGTATTGTCTCAGAATTCAAAGAGGGAATAAAGATTCTTTCTGTGAATATGGGATTATATCTTCTACGTGTTTGTGATGATATAAATTACATTTTTTCTCTGTATCAGTAATCATATTAATTCTTTAAGATGGGAAATTTTTCATTACAATAGTCCCTGTGGTAGTTACTATAGAAAGAAATTGAATAGATTTTTCTTACAAATATTTGTGGATTAATTCAGGATGCTAGGTATTCCAAGTGTCTAAACACTTAAAAAGGTGGGAAATTAAAATCTGTGCGTGGAACTAGGAGTGGTTTTATTGTGTTAAAAATTTATCAGATAAAAAAATCCCACTTAAAGGAGAATTGTTGAACTACTTAGCAATTGTGCCTTCAGTGTATGTAAGAATACCCTTGCAGTGTCATGCTGCAAATGAATTAATGAAATGAAGATACTGATTACATTAACATACAGTATTGTGATAGTACCCAATTGTAAATTGCAGTATGTAACCTTTAATACAAATATTTGTGTCAATCAAAATTGACCGATAGCTTAGTATATGGGGTTTAACAGATACCATTGTTTTTAATAAATAAGATCATCCAGGAGGATGAGGACCAGTTTGAATTTGTTCCTTATCAGCATTTCCAGAAAAAAAAGGATACTGTCTCCAAAATATATGTTGGGAAAGCTTTCCATTTTGCATCTGTGAATGAGTGAGGCCTTTCAAGGTTTTTAGTGTTTCATTTAGGGGTGAAAATAACTTCCTTTATATTCTAAAGAATGTAACACAAACTTGCCCACTCACTTTTTTGTGGGGAAAGGACAAAATTGTGGGCAATGTTGCAGAGAAATCTAGCTGTTGCTTTTCTTGATTTAAAAAAAAAAAAAGTCTGTTATTTTTCTACATGCTGGAGAATTTTCTGTCTCTGCTTTTGAACGTATGTTTACCATTTCTTGCTATGATCACTTTTCAGCTTTATAACCTCCATCAGTTCCGTCCTTACCCTTGTTGCATCAGGAGCTGTTTAGGGGCAGTGCTAAGTGCTCTAGATTTGCTCTGCAGTTGCCAGGAGGTGTTGGGTTTCTCAGAGGAGCATAGTCCCAGTATTTTAACCAGAACACAGTGGGAAGAAAGTAAGGAGCACAGACTCCTTTCTGTAGGTTATCTA